GGTCATATTTAAACTTGCAACGTAACAATTATTTGCTCTATAGGAGGAAAAAAAAGTGTCTTTTTCATCCAAAATTTTTCTCAATGCTTCAGCTATTTCTAATACCCTCAGAAAAGCATTAAATCTTTTAGCATCTATCAATGAATCATTTCTCTAGGGAATTAGGTACACGTTTTCCAGTTTCTATAGCAGACCTACTGATGTCAGTTGCTTTTTTTCCGCTAGTGGAAGACATTATTCTCAGGTTTTACAAGACTCTGATTTATGAAGGTGTTAGAATGTTGTTTCTTAGATAAGGGAACTTAATGGACAATGCAAATTTTGAGAATGAGTGCAAGAAAAAAAAAATGCTTAACAAAAAGAAAACTGAGGTACTGTTAAAATGATATTTTGTCCATTGACATCAAAATATCTAAAGATCATGGGTGTTGGTATAAACCTGTTGATAGTTTTTCCAAAAATCAAATATTCATTAACACGTTGACTACCATGGCACTTTTTGGGTTCCGGTCCGAGCAGCCAAATCGATTTAAACATATTATATTATTAAAAATACTAATCATGATTCGCAACAATCATTAAAAAGTTTACAGGATTTTTTTTTTCTTGTAGAAAAAAGTGGTCCTATGAATTATCTTGTAGTCAGCTTTTGTTAGACAAAGCTCTTCGCAGAAGCCCACTAAGAGTTGATTTATGCAGACATGCTTTGACTTGTTGTCTCGGTACAGCTAAAACGCCATTGCGTGCAAGTAATTTGCAATGGCACAAAAGTGGCAAGTCAAGAAACTATGAGATAACTCGTATTGGGCATCCTGAAGAAGAGCGCAAATATAAGTTATCTAGTGTTGGACAGTCAAAGTGTTAAGAAATATTTTTCTTTACAGTAATATACATGCTTTTGCAAAAAAAAAAAATCGAAATACCAAGGACTTTTGCAATCCTGACGAAATTTGGTATGCGAAAACATCTTGATCGAACATGCAAGTGATCAAAGTTTCAAAACAAATGAACAGGAATTGCGATCATAGCGCGCATTTCTAATGTGCAATTTGCAAAGTATAAAACCAGAGGCAGAAAATTTATCTTTTTTGTTGCTACCATTGTAATTTCGTAAGCAACTAAAGATGCCATTACAATGATATCGAAGACTTTACAGTCAACTAAACAATTCGACCACGGTCGCATTGTAGGGTTGCATGAAGCTGGTGGTCATACCAAACAACAGGCCACCACCTGCAGCGTACAGACACTGCTGTGGAAAGACATTGGCAGCAATAGTTGCTACAATTAAATTGCCGATGAAATGAAGGCTCTAGAAGGCCAAGGCACACAAATGCGAGGCAAGATAGGATGATTATTTGCCAGGCCCAAATCACATCAACTGTATCATTGTCAACTATTCAACACACTGCAGCCACGTCTATACCTCCCATCGTACTGTCCACCATCTCACAGTGCTTGTCTGAGGCGGGGTTACACTCACAGAGACCTCTAAGACGTTTATCTTTGACCTCACAACATCGGCAGAGTCGTTTGAAGTGGTGTTGCAGTCGATCATCATGGCTGCCATCAGACTGACATTGTATAGTGTTCAGCGATGAATCCCGCTTCAACTCTTAAAGCAGATGACCACCGTGTTTGTGTCTGGAGCGGACGGGGCCAGCAGTCCCAATCAGCCTTTGTTTTACAAAGGCATACAGCTATAACCCCTGGTCTGATGGTGTGGGGTGCTATTTCTTATGACAGCAAGCCATCTTTAGTCATCCTCTGTATATCCGCAGAATGAACAGGCCGCAAGATGGTATCAACATATCGTTGAGCTGTTAAAACAGCTCAACGATATGTTGATACCATCCTGCAGCCGGTTGCATTACCCTTCATGGTACATCATTCTGGGACCATTTTCCAACAAGATAATGCCAGGCCACATGCCGCTCGCATATCTCTGGACTGTCTACATGCAGCTGACGCTTTTCCTTGGTCAGCAAGGTCGTAAGACCTTTCACCAATCAAGCATGTCTGGAGCATGGTAGGCCGCCAAATTCGGGCAGCACAAAATATCGCAGATCTGGTGCGATAACTAATGAATGCCTGGCAGAATGTGTCGCAGGATGGCATTAGAATCCTCTACCACTCCTTGCCTTGATGAATTCAAGCATGCATTGCTGCCAAAAGCAGTTTGACCAACTACTAATTTGAATACTCAATGGGTGATTGTAAGCCATGAACAGGTACTAAGACCTTGATTTGTTAATCATTTTATTATCTGTGTATGAGCTATACACATATTCAATTTCATCAAAAACAATCACTTCCTTCATGGTGCTTCAATTTTTTTTTGTTAAAGAGCGTATATATGCATATTATCTTATCTTGTAAAAGGCTGCACAGGGTGAGAAATATAGGTTGTTTTTTTTAACCCCTTAACTGCCGCGGGCGTATATATACGCCTTGCTCAGCCGATGCGTTAACTGCCCCAGGCGTATATATACGTCCTTCCAAACTGCTATCATTTGCTTTGCGCTGCTACACCTAAAATTATTCGCAAACGCATCGGCTGCGCATCTGGGGCAGTTAAGGCATCGGCTGAGCAAGGCGTATACATACGCCCGCGGCAGTTAAGGGGTTAAAACAGTGGGCATCACGAGTAAGCGACTGGACCACCCTCCATTGACCACCACGAATAGGCAATCATTTGGATACTTGTTCTGGACTTGCTAATGCTGTCAAAAATGATTGTAGTACTTATTATAATGTTTCTAAACTGTATTGCGCTGCCCGTCAGACCAATGGCGGTCACTGCAATACTTAGTCTAGTTTGAAGATATTGAGAAACAGTACTGACGTTTTTCTAACTGAGATTCACTTTGTTAACAGACACAATAATTGCCATCAAATCAAAAGATTAGATAAACAAAGTCCAAATTCAGTACTTACCTGTAATTTTTTATAACTAAATTTATTTAAACTGTTATAACATGAGATCTGACATGAATACAAGTGAGTTACTTGGAAGTATTCAACATTTTTTTTTTTTTTTTTTTTTTTACGCAGTAGTAAAATTCTGTTGAAGAAAGCCGAAATATAGTCTGTCCACCACAAGAAGAGATTTGATCACAGCTGTTCGAAAGGAGATTTCATTTCACTGCTGCAAAATGGATAACCCTTTCAAGTTTGTAAATGACAGAATCCAAATGTCATTGTTGTACAGCATGTACTTTTAGTTCCAGGTTTACCTAAAGTAAAATGCTGGGATCGTCCACTAGCATGTGATGTAGAACTGGCCAATTCTCTTCTTGAGACAGACAGACGATTACAGAACCTTGATCCTTCTGAACTGCAAAACTCAATCTAATGTGTTCCTTTACACAATTACTTGCCTTTCTGAAAATAAAATATGATAAATGGATTAAGAAAGCTAAGTTGAGGAAGATTTCACTAGTGTCAAAAGAAGTGGAAAGTGAGAAGGAAAAAGACTTATTAGACTAATATTACTTGATGTAAGGCTGAAAAAGCATACAATACAATTGTGGAATGAAGAGAAAAGAACAGAAACAAAGAATCTTCACACTCTCTTCAAAGATGTTTTAACAAGATGATGGACTTTCAAACTATGCAAAATCTTCATGCAACAGTAGATTTCAAAACATGATTGATTAAGATTAATAAATTATAACTATTTTGCAGTTTAACTTCTAGTACGTTTTCAGTCATTAACCTCTTGAGGACCAGTATGCAGAGAATGAAGTGCAGCAATTCCTCAATTTCCGAAGTTACACAAGTAATATACTAATATGTATTAATATAAAGAATATCACATTAATAGAAATAAATGAAACATGTGAAATACTAAAATTATAACTGTAAGCATGAAAACAAATACTATACACGTGAAAACAAAATTACAAATATGAAATGTAAAAGAAAATTAAGCAATAATTATCTGTAGGTAACTAAATTCCAATTTAATAATTCTGCTGTGTGCAGAATAATTCAAAATGAGAATTAAGTCACAGGACAATGGCTGCTTTTTTTGCTGAGCATATGCCGAGCAAGTAAGATGCCTCACACAACGGGAAAGCTGATATCTTCCCCTTCTGCAATAATGTTGTAAAGTTACTTTTTAATTAACCAAGAAAGTGTATGTTAACCTTTAAAATAAATATAAAAAAAAGGGCAACTGCTCAGAGTTTTCCGTCACGGAATTTAAGAGACATTACACCTGCTATAGTCAAAGCTAGTAGATGCACTTTCTCACATTCTCCTAACAAAACAAAAACAAACAAAAAAAAAAAAAAAAAAAAAAAAAAAAAAAAGAAAAAAAAGAAAGAAAAAGAAAGAAAGAAAAAAGAAGAAAGAAAGAAAGAAAGAAAGAAAGAAAGAAAAGAAAACATTGAGCTGGATGCATTTCCGCACATTCCTAATAACTAAAAACACAAAGAATAAAAAGGAAATTCTTAATGAAATAAATAAGCACGCCAGTATCGCTTTAACTTAACAGCTCCAATTCCCAGTTTCTTTACACCAGCAAATCTATCAAAAGCAGAAGCACAGATCAGAAACTGATACTCATACTTAAAAGTCAAAAGCCACGACTTAACCGATGTGAAAATCGTTACAATTTAGCCCCATCTACTGGCATTTAAAAATTCAAATAAATTGTTCCATTTTCAAGTTACATATACGGGATGCTGGGCTGTAGAGACTGATCAGAGCTTTTTGCGTATACGCTGCGTTGGGCTAGTAAGAGTGGAATCGTTGTGTCGTGTGTACGCGGCACTGGTCCTGAATCAGTTAAAAGTATTAGAGCATTTCTAGGTAAAACTTTTTTTAAGATTTGCATTCTTACAATAAATTAAATTACACTCACAAAATTTATCATTATCTTGATAAGTTCAAATAAGTTGGCATTATTTAAGTTTTGAGCTTTGTGGATTATTGAACTTTTAATGTACAAAATAAAAATACACATAATTAATATAGAATAAAATAGAGCTATCTCAAGTAAAAAATATTTTATTCATTTAAAAAAAATTAAAAGAACAAAAATAATAACAGTACTGCACTTTCTTTGGTAAGATGATGTTTGAAATGACATGAAAAGTTCAATGATACATGAAATATTTTGAAAAAATTTCAGGAAGCCAGATTCAGAACAGTATTCATGAGAGGCTGTTTGTCGATCACTTTTGATAAACTATCCTTTATCTTCACAAAATGGCGCTTAAACTCGATACCATCCCCCTGTAAAAAATATTAAGTTTTAATATTACAGGGGAAAAATTACAAATTTGAAAGGACAGGAGATAGATTAATAAAAAATAAATTCTTCTTTGAATTTGTATATAAAGACTATATAAAGTGACAAAAAATTTCCATTATATAGCACTGTGATTACATGTACAATATGCACCTATATGAATGTCTTAATCTACTGCACAACAATGCACTTCTTATGCTGACAGGTTCATGAAACACAAGCTGGATACCCTTAAATTAAAGTAAACAGATGTTCCAGCCCATGAGTGATAGTCCTACATTTCATTGAAGTGCCCCACTTCAAATTATATTCTGGAACATGTTCTCGATTCTCTTAATATTTCCAGAATATTTAAATACAATGGATATGAATTTTGTGACTGTTGGTGCATAAAATTATGAAAATGTTTTTGTAGAATCAGAAAAACATTCAATAATCAATAGAGAGTTTATTTAGGTATATGCTTTTATGGAATTCACAAGGTCTACAAACAGACTGGCTAGTGGAAGAATTTTTAGTTTATGCTGCGATTCCTTTTTGGATAATGGGCAATAAAATTAAATCAAAAGAAGAATTTCAAGTAGATCTCTTCTTAAAAATGCAACAGATTATAAGCACGAATAGTAAAGCTGCATTTTAAAAAGAAAATACTTTGGTTGAAGATAATTAATTACCTAATCCCAAATTAAGCAATACTAAATTTTAAAAATCATTAAATACCCCAAAAATTTAACAGTTCAATTGTAAAACTGAAAAGCAGCCAAGTTTTCTCCATAATCTGTGCAAATCAAACTTCCTCCAAATGAATAGCATTAATAAAAGTGAGCTCTGCTTACAGGGGGAACTGTAGCATAACAGACATATATTTTGGTAACATATGCTTTTATGAAATAATCTACGAAGAGAAGTATCCCTGCATATTTTGGTAACATATGCAGGGATACTTCTCTTTGTAACCACCTCTAACTGTAGACACTGTTTTTAAGAACATAGATAAAAGTAGGCATTGAATTCATAGCAGACACTGCAGAAAAAATTCATAAAGAACTGCAGAATCCACTTGAAAGGTTTCATTGTAACATATAAGAAATGATTGATAAAATAAACTAAAATAAAATAAAACTGAGCAGCTCTGAATTACTGTCTTGGTGTTTCAAACTAAAACTGAACAGCTTAGAATTAAATCGGGTTTTAGAAACATAATTATTATTACACTGCATAATTACATACATAATGGCTTATTAATTACACTTTATTTAATCATTTTTAGTAAAATAAAAATTACAGTAAATCTTAATTTGCTTTTTTTTTTTTTTTTTTTTTTTTTTTTTTTTTAAGATGAATAAATTTAGTTTACTGTGCGCTGTTTAAAACATAAACTTTTTATTATTTGAAACAAATGATTTGCATTTCTTCCCCCTCACTCCTCAATTTCCCAGACTGTTGGGAAAACACTTCAACTTTTCTTGGACATTTACTAATTAAGTTAAATATTTTATAGGCATGTCAAAATAATTTCTACAAGAAACATTTAACTGGATTTTTGTGATTATAAAAAAACAGTAATTTGAAATGGAAAATACTTCAAAACATAAAATAATAAATTAAATACTGGCAAGAAATAAACTACTTTATTTCCTCTCACAAATAAATACTTTATTTAATAAACTCACAAATTATAATAAAATGTATGTTTGCTGATATTAAAATATAGAACTGAATTAATCGTTACCGAATTAATAAATATATTAGAAAGCCCACTTATTACTCCATTTCATCTTTTAGTATCATACAATGAAAATAAAATTATTATAGAAGGTTAGCATTTGCCAAGCAAACAAATACTTACAATCTTTAATAGTCATAATAATACAGTCATGTTCAATATGAAATGTCCCTAGATCATGGAGGTAAGAAAGGAAAGAGGTGGCCAAACCTGCACTATGAGTGAAGCACTGCTCTGAGGCTTTGGTCTCCAGATGAGGTACTTTTTGTTTGGTTTTGTACTTCAGAAGCTCCCTTGACAGTGCGCTCTGATAGTATTTCAACATATGACAGTTCCATACAAATAGAAAAACGGGATACTTCCGCAGCACAAAGGAAACATTCATAGTGTGACGGCGAATAGCAATTTGTATAGTTTAGTGATATTTACGCAAAAATCACATCTTGGTTAATTTTTGGATAATTAACAACAGTGATTTTGATTATGAATTTTTTTTATAAAATTCTAAGCTGTTGAACTAAAAATATAGATTTTAGCAAAAATGTTATGCTTAAAAAATGAAAAATACATAACAGTACGTTTAAAATTATATAAGTCTTTCGATACCCTTGTAGAGTATTCGGTACTTTTATTTTATGTTCCAAACGCCAAAATGTTTTAAATAAAATAATTTTTTTCATCCACATATTATTCTGACATGTACTTTTTAAAATTTTTTAGAGGAGAGGCTTTATAGTTGTTCATTTTAAGCTCATCATTTTATTTTTATATAACTGAAAAATAATCAATTTGAGTTTACACATTTTACTTATTTGGGTTAATTACTTATTAGGATTAATTATAATTACCACCAAATGCTGCAATCCTTGTCAAAATTAATAAACAGACACACAGATATGCCAATAAGTTAACTTTTCCCCGATTTGTAACCACATATTTGTGTAAAATTATGCACAGTTTTACACAAATGTGTGGAACAGAAGATGGATACATTTGCAAATTCGGTGAATGAAGCAATATTATGCAGAGTAAGGCAATCAAGATTGCGATCTGATGACAATGCAGTTAATGTTTAAAGTAATGGATAGTTATTATATTATAAGAGAATTATTGAACTGGGTAAAATCACTAAAAGAGGTATTGAGTGCTCTGCCAAAATATAATTACTAGAAGATTTGAATTTGGTAAAGAATGTGTCCTAAAATGTGTTTTAAGTCAAAAAATTTGAAACTTGATGGCTAAATGTAAATATAAAACTATGAATGTTAAAATATTTGTAAGTAGGCACATTGGTCAGGTTAAGTTTTTATTAAACAGAGTAAGGCATGCAAAAGCTATCTGGAATTTCAAACAAAAACTGACCTGTAATTGGGTATTAGAAATAATGCATGTAATTTTCATTCAAGTTACATTTATACATATTTCTTATATGAAAATTTCGGGCATATGCTAAATTATTGTAAATTACTTTACTTAAAATATATAGTGAATGCACATAAATTAAAGATTTGTTCATGTCAAAAATGAAAAATATGTAATATATGGGTATTTATGCATATGCTTGCAAAAAGCATGTATCTTCCTTTAACAAAATACGTAAATATTTATTAAATTATTTATAAATGAATTTGAAATGAAGGGTTTATTCATTCATAAACTCCTGTGAAAGTTACTGTGAAGAAATCTAATTACAGTACAAAGTCTGTAATCCGGACATCCATAATCCGGAATGATCTATAATCCAGACCTCAAAGCTACAAACTTTATGCGCATGCGTAACACATGTGCATAATGCATTTACGCATGTGCATTTAATGTATAACGGAGGGTATAAGCAGGGCTAAAATTATCTAAGGCATTTCAGTTAATGTTGCAGATTGAGCTGCTCCTTAATCTAATAATTGGATCTGGCTTATTATTTTTTGCAGACTGTTAGAACAATTTTATAAAAATTAAGCTTGAACTTTTGATTATGTCAAAAAGAGTTTCCAATTCTGGAGCTGCCAAAGGATCTACAAAGCGAAAGCATGTTTCGATGTCCATTAAACAAAAAGTGGAATTACTGCAAAAATGGATAAAGGCCTATCTATCTCAAAATTATGTATGGCATTGGAAAGTCCACTATATATGACACAAGAAAAAGGAACTTTTTGAATTTTTTGTGGAAGCATCTTAAACAACTTACATTGAAAGAAATGCTTAATAAAGTAAACAAATAAATATTAAGCTTTTTTTTTTTTTTTTTTTGTAAATTTTGATACCTTTAGATCATAATTGTTCTTTATTTCATAAAATTACAATTTCATATTTTTAATTGTATAATTTCTGCATGCCATCTTACCAGATTTAAATTGATGATCTTTAATGCGGAAAAACCACTAATCCGGAATCGCCGAAGTCCTGACGAGTCCGAATTACAGACTTTGTACTGCATTAAATGTATCTAAATTTATAATGATTATAAATATTATCTAAATATACAATACACTTAACATTGAATTGTACACATAAACTGAAATCCCATTGACAAATATGTTAAAGTTAAGTACACAGAAAAAGTTAAGTACATGGAAATGAGCACCAATATTTAACGTATTTCACTATAAAAATAAAAGGTGCTTTAATTTTTAAATGATTCAAATAGAGCATCAATTATAAACTGGCTTATATTTTTCGATTTAAAAGATGCCTCAGAAGCTAAAAAATCATGTCATATTTGAGAAAATATTTTAGGAAGACGCTCTACAAATAGAAAAGAAATAATGCATAATTTTAATATTAATAATACAATAAACTTTGATCTTAATTTTTATAATCCTTAACCAAATAATAGCGAATCACCTTAAAAAATTTTCCTAATGTAATTAATGAAAACTTTTTAAAATATTTCATTCAAATTAAACTGTTCTGTGAAAAGTATAGCATTTAATTCCATTCAGAATGAAATGTTGTTGGAAAATGTATTCTTTACACATACTTAAGACACTGAAATATTGTAGAAAAAGAAAATATATACATTTCTATGTATATTTACAATGTAATTCTAAAATATTTACATCTGATTGTCTGAAAACCCATTGATTTTAATGGTAAGTCACTGAATGTTTTGGTCACCACGAAGGGATTCCCAGTACTTCAAGCAGTGTATGGAGAAAACCGGCTAGAGCCTCTCCTTCTTACTTCCTACCTCTGTGCCCTAGATATTCCCAGAACTGCCTCAAAGAAGAAACAATTAATTTACATGGTTCCAGTTACACTGATAAAAATGTAAATAAATGCAAAGATGAATAAAATTATTACATTAACTATAGTATATATTTTGCTAAATGATAACAATTTCACAGCTATCGCCTGTTATTAGCATTGTGATGACTTACTTCTGCTCAAAATGCAATAAAGTGCTATACAGATTGTCGATCCAATAATTCCAGCCATTTATGTAAAACCCAATCTCCCACAATTCTAGGTTAATTTTAGAATAATGTTGGAAGCTTGAACTCCCATATGAAGCAGTTATGCTAGAATTGCTTTGAAGAAATCATGGTAAAAAAGCTTAATTACTTGACTACTACTGCACACTTTTTTTAATGTAATAATGCTTGCATTATTTTATTGTCACTGCTATAAAATATTAGTGATATTTTGCATGCAATATAATGCATACAACATGCAAAATATGTTATTGCATTAATGTATTTCTTATACTATCAATAAGTCTTTTGATCAAGAGTAGGCTGATAATAGTAAACCTTTTGGTTACTTCAAAATTATACAGATTTGTATTTGTCACTTATTTCAAGAACTAATAATAAAATTGCAATGTAAAAGACATATATTATATTTTACATATAATAACATGTACAAAGAGATTTAAAAATTTTCAAGCAATTAGTTCAAGAACCCATATTTGACTCACCCTTGATCTTCTGAAGTCCACAAGTACAGTATCAGAAATCACAATCAGATTTGCCTTGAAAATTAACTGCATCTTTCTTCTGTCTTGTGTGGTGATAGTGAGCTAGAAAGAAAAAAAAAAAAAAAAGAGAGAGAGAGAGAGAGACATGCGTTACTTAACTATTCTAGTTAAACTATACAATCATCTAGTAAACATATAAATAATGCATACATTCTTATTATGATCATAGCCAGCCACGCTCTTTGATCTGACACAGGTAAAGTTAAAATGGCTTGCAAATACCTTAAATTAATAAAAAATACTGATATGAATGCTTGCTTCATGAAACAAAAGATATGCCACCAAAGCAGAGCAGCCATCAGTATAGTTTTTTTCTCCTTTTTTTACATTTAACACCTATCAATCAAACTTTTTCAGCATGGTTAAAAGAATTATAGACAGTTCTTGATTAACCCAGGAAAGATAGTAACACAGGACAGTTGTGGATTAAGCAAAACAAATAAAACTGAATACGAAAATAAACAGAAAAATTACATGACAAAACATGTGAAAAAATGGAAGTTTCATAGCTCCCCAACTACTATTTAGTTTTATTAAACATGATAATGTGAAAAAAGCCTTACCTTTTTCTTCATAAAGAGAATCAGCAGTTGTGGAAAACTGTTACTTAAGTTACTAAGTTGTTACTTAGAAATCCAATTATCACATTACACAAAGATCATCTTATCTATAAAAGTATTTGCAAAGTAAATAAATGTCATCAAAAGTATATATATTGTTGATTAATTTACCTGTCCTGGAGCACTACGCTTGAAAGAATAACCAAACTTTTCAAAGACTTTCACAAGTAGATCACACACAGCTTCTGTTTCTCTTTTGATACAAAACCTGGTGAGACGAGTACCAATAGGAAGAGCAGTCTAGCAAATTTAAAAAAAAAAAAAAAAAAATCCTTTACTTAATGACCAAATAATAGGAAACTAATGAACTAATTACAATTTAAAAGATTTTTCCACCCTAACTGGTATAGCAGTTAGTATTACTAGATTGACAGCCTCTAAAATACACAGCAAAAAATTCTTGAGTAGCTTGGTAGTAAGGGATGGGAGAGAGACCCATGAATTCATTCCCTGGAGGATTCTGCTTTAATTCAAAACTGGAATGGAACTGACTAAAGTTGTATTGTCACCAATAAGGTGCCCAAGGCCCATGCCAACAACAGATGCAATCCTTTGCTCTTTGCCAAGATAAACTTCTTGAACTTGTTCTGATATTACTGTCAGACAAGCGAGATTAAGTCACAGCAACAGACTTTAGCAGATTGCTTGAAATTGGTCTATTACAGCTGGGTGGGTTTGACAATTCTGACAAATAACGATGGTGGTCACTTTTCAAGTCATCAGTTTTGTATGATTTTTAAATAATCTTCCCACATGACAATAGTTTTACAACTACTAACTTTACCACTAAAAGAATTATGCACAATTCTTTTCTCCCATCTGCAAAAAGTTACAGATTATTTACATTTCAACCAATTGGTTCCCAGCATGAAAATTTCATTATGCAGTTTTTAAGGTATCCTTGTTTTCCCTTTATATATAAAACCAAGTTGTGTATAGTAGCTGCCTATTTTTACATAATGTGACACAGCAGAAAAATTGAACCGAATAATCTTTCGCTCAAACCATTTTTACATGTGATAACTGCTTCACAAATAAATAAGTTAATTAATTAGAAAAAAGAAGACTTAACTGCTTAACAAATAAATAAATGAGTTAACTAATTAATTAGAAAAAAAAGAAGACTTAAGCTATAAACTGAAAATAAAAGCCATAAAAGTTATAAAACTTTGTTTAGAAGTATTAATGAATGTATTCTTTCTTGTGTTAAGCTTTGTTACGTCTTTGCAGTAAGCATGAGGAGTTTGATGGCACACTTAAGAGTTTGGATACCTATTTATTTGACATGGGGAGTTGTAAACATCACAGATTAATTTCCATTTCTTTTGACTTGATAAAGACAAATCCGAAGGTTGCTGAATTTAAGACACACAACTCATAGAATGTTTATGTATGAAAAAATTTTCAATAATTAACTGCTGAAATTAAAAAATTAATTATTAAAAGAATCTTGAAAAGACTGCTTTAAAAATTATTTGTGCTTCATAACTTATGACTACCCTATAAAGAAAAAAAAAAAAAAAAAAAATTACTACCACCCAACAGGGATAGTGGTTAGCAATGTTGACTGCATACCGAAGGGCCCGGGTTCAAATCCCGGAGAAGCCATAGATGTTTGTAAATGTATAGTGACTGTGCAGCATGGGGGCACTTTAAATATGCTGCAAGCCGAAAGTACTCTCGAGATGTTGGGGTTACAGCTGAAAACATCACAAAGAAAACGTCAAGCGAAAACATCAGTATACAAAACATCGCAGGAGAAAAGAAAGCAAAGAAAAAAATAGCAGTTCTAAAACATCGTGGTACAAAATAACATCATTAAAAATAAAGCAGTTGAATAAATTCACAGTTTAAAAAAATCATCATAAAAAATATCATGGCAAAAAATAAAGCACCTACAAATCATAGCATAACAATAAGATAAATACTTTTTTCAGACTTTAAAAGACATGTTTCTCAGGCTTTAAAAATTGCAAATGCATATTTACATAATGATTTGTGAGCGCAAAAAGGAAAAATGAATATTTTAATTTTTATATTTCACAATTTTGAATGAACTAATAAATTTTTGCTGAAAAAGTAAGAAGGCATATTATGCATTAAAAACTGAAAATTAATAGAAAATTAATGCAACTTGTAGCACTTAATAGAATTTTAAACTTACAGTTAACTAATATCAGGGTTGCCACTTAAAGAGTAGAATGAAATTCCCTGACTTTTCCAGGTTTTCTAGGTGTGTTTTGAGAAAATTCCAGTCTATCTGCATAGTGCGTGTTGGCTGCACTGAGAGGTAAATTAATTATGGTATACCACTTGAAAACACAAAAATTTGCCAATTACATACGACTTATTATATATATATAATCTTGAAAGCATTACTATTATAGCTATAATAGGAGTTGTTTACTCCACTGAAGATTGAGATTAGAATCTGCCATTAAAAAATGAGCTTTTTTGCAGACATTTTTGCAGCTAAACGAAAGAAAGAAATCTATTTAATGATATTTTAAAATAAATTCAGGTATTTTTATATTTATTTAGCAGCATACATGAGCAAAAATATGTGCATTAAATTTCATGATTGTATGTCCATCATACTGCTAGATTTAGTTTCAGAATTATGCCAGAGAAATTTGCCTGAAATTTGAAAGTATTATTAACTAATAATAAATAAATTTAGAGGAAAGAAGAACATTAAATGATATAAATAACATTAAAATGAAGAATTACAATAATCAATGCTATTTTGGCGAATATTAAACGTTAGCCTAGATGACTGATTACTATTTTTTATTTTACTGCAAAGAAAAATAAGGCATTTATTAAATGAAAAAAAAAAAAAAGTTTAAAAGATTTTGCGTTAAAATCCTAGTCTTCGCTATGGCCTTTGTACAATTTGAAAAACTGCCGCCAACACCAAAATGACAGTTTAACTACCCAACACCTTCTTACCCTCGGCATTACAGGTTAGCCCTGAAATTCAAACGTTCATCAAATGTCATGAATAAGTGTTATTTTTAAATTAAAAAATGAATCTCATTTTGTACCTTGATTCCTTTTCTTCCAATATACATCCAAACCGAAATCAAATACATTAAAAAAGCTAGCAGAAATTTTCAGTTGTAATGAATATAGAAGGCAGTCTTCTATACAGAATTTTCCAACCGTAACACTGAGAGGTTTAAACAGAGACTAAGAGACAGAAAGAGTTAACTGTTGTTACTGCTCATCATAATGTTGTCAAATCCCATGTGTACCGTGCATGGAGGTTAGAATACAAAAATATATATTGTTAAGATAAAAACACTCCTCTGCAACAGGAATGGCTCCGTCCCAACGTGGAGGGAAACTGCGTATGTGCAAAATATCTGTCGCCGAAACTTGCGAAGTTCGAAGGTCAAGTTTATCAAAAGTACATAAAACGAATATCATTTTAAATTTCCTTAAACTTTAAAGAAAAAGAAAATATTTTTTGCACGAGTAAATTAATTAATAGATTAGCTATTTTGAGCAAAAAAAGTACGAAAATCCAAGTATAAATTATCGCGAAAGTCAAAGAACGTTTCTTATTAACACAGGCTCCACAATTTCCTGTACACATCGCGAAGGGGAAAATTCTTACCGTCAGGTTCCGTTGCCAAATCCCCTTTGGCAAGTTTTTCCCTCTGCCTTCTAGCGGCACTCTAGCAAACTGATTTACATTACGTCTATGGAACCCTTCTTTCTTTACATAAACATTCTAACATTAGAACAGAGTACATGGGGGCTATTCTAGCCTCCATGGTACAGTATATTAGGATTAAACTGATTTTGTTGTATACGAGAATGGGAAGGTATTTTCTTTAGTTCAACATAACCTGCACATTGCGAGTCTTAGGATTCTCGAAGTTACTGAAAACAAACTTGCCGGAAACTTGCTTTGCCTTTCTAAAAAACAATCTGATTGGAGCTGCGAAAATTGGCTCTACACCAGCTGCCCGAATGATGCTCATCTGATACATAATTCACCAACAAAGCCATGGCTTCCAACATTGGTGCAAAACTTGCTTTTTGGGGGATCACCATGTGACATTCCATTTTCCAGATTTTGACTAAAATATTTAAATTCCCTGACTTTTTTCGTCAATTTTCGAATTCCCCCGACTTTTTCTGGTTTTCCAGGTAGCGTGGCAACCCTGTAATAAAGGCCATAAATAAATTAATCTTTTTTAATAAAGTTTTACTGATAATTTTTCATGAAAAATATATTCTTAGAAAAAGGAAGATAAGCAACTTCATGAGATTACATCTATAAAAATTGTTTAATCCATTATCAAATTATTCTAATCCATGTTTTTTAATTGGATATTCTTTTAGTGAAAATTATATCTTGTTCTGTTTCTGTTTATTCTTAAAGTGTCATTAGCATTTCCATGTACAGCGCATAGTCAATTATTTGGATGTCTATTTGTTAGTTATGATGAATATCAACTATGTACTATTTCAATAGGCGATTTTGATTTATTGTATTATGCCAAAGCATGCTAGGACTATCTGCTTAAAAGGAAGAAAACCTTTGTGGAGTACTTTCTCATGAACTGGCTCATATCCACATTATATATTAGGAGAATCACGAGAATTTTATGTAGCCAGCTCTTCCGCTGGATCAAAATACCAGTATTCAGTGATTTTACCAATTGGTCCCAGGTGGACAGTTCTTCAGTTTATTAATGTTTTCTGCTTTTCCCAACAGAAAAGTCTCTAAAAGTGTTATTTTTAATACTCCATTATTGTTATTTGACAAAACTAACAAACTTACTTGTTGCATGGAATATAAACAGAAACCAGCTAAAACGTGCATACCATCTGAAAATTGACAACAAATAAATTCTACACACAGGCTAATTACACGAACTCAAAATTAATTTTAAAAGATAGCGGAATACGCACCCCAAAGAAAGTATTTATTTAAATTGAAAAAAACTGCAGATTCACAATCTATCTCCATCATTAAATAATGAAGAATCTGTATTATATATGGGCATATGTATGTTCTTTTCATTGTGGAAAAATGAAAGCATTTTAAAAAGACATAATACTCAACTTGAACACGCCCACCTTGAAATACAAATTTTAAATTTGTTATTTATTTTATATTTTGTTAAAATTTCATGAAATTCTGATTAACAAACCTGGCAATTTAAAAGCAGTTGGTGTGTTGCCATTTGGCAAAACATAAGATAATTATACTTCAAACAGACTCAGCAATTTAAAAGACCTGTTATTGATTAATAAATTAAACAATTGAAAATAAATAAATACCTCTATTATAATTAATCACTAGCTAGACTGTGAAATTACACTAGCTTGAAGTCATTATATGTTTTCTTCTATTTTATATTAACTACACGGGCCTCCAAAAGTTAAGGAGCAGCATGTTTTCCAAAGCTCACCATTACAAAAATGTCAGTAACATTTAAATTTAGTTTATCTGCATGATAGCAATGAAGTTTAAGAAAATATATGCAAAGACAATAGTTACCACTTTTTATTTCATAGCAATGAATACTTTATATAGGAGTTGGAAAAAAATGCAAAAATTATAAGTTTTGCTCAAGAGGGTTGATCTTCAAATGCTATTTTTAGCAATATTCAAATGTATTATTAGCAGTTTCGTTGACAATATCCAGGAGAGTCTAGCAATGTCCAGTAGAAGTTGTTTGCCCGATTCGTTGAGGTAGCAGGCGAACGTATGGATGGAAATGGGAATGTCACAAGCTGATGCTGCTAGACATCTCAGTGTCTCTCATAATGTGGTCCACTGACTATGGAATCAGCTTCAATAGAAGGATTCTGTATCTAGAAGACATGCTCTAAGAAGACCTAGATTTACAACTCCTGCGGCAGACCATTATTTAGCTCCTTCGGCCCGAAGGAGGAGTAACATTAATGTGCCTCATGGCAGATCATTTAGTGGCAACAGGGACAAGAATTTCAGCTACTACAGTGTGCAGATGCCTGAACAATACAAGTCTGTATGCAAGACTACCAGTTGTTTGTGTCCTCTTGAACTGAGGATACAGAGGTGCCCATTTATGTTGGGTAAAGAGAACACATCTCCTGGACCAATCAACAATTCGGCATCTTTTCTCTTCACAAGTCCAGGTTCACATTGGAGAGTGATTCAGGTCGTCAGCTGATCTGGAGAGAACAACGCACCAGATAAAACCAATTCCACATTGTGGAAAGACACAGTTACACTGACCTGCATGTGTTCCATGGAGGAACTTTGACCAGGTGAGATATCAAACGAGATCCTTGATCAATATGTCTGCCCATATGCTGCTGCTATTGGTCCTGGATTTCTTCTGATGGACGACAATGTGCGAATGCACTGAGCTTAGATTGCTGAAGGATATAGTGACGGTCACACTATGGAGCAGATGGAATGACCAACTCAATCCCCAGAATTGAATATGAATTTGGGACTACCTTGGGAGACAGGTTGCAGCTTTAAGTCCTCCCCCAAGGTCGTTAGATGGGCAAACAAGGATTACTCTGTTTGGTTGTTGCTTCCTATTTCACTGACCGACAACTTAACTGACAATATGGAATGTTGCTGCCGCCAATGTATTGCAGCTAGGGGTAGACACATTCCTTACTAGAACCCATTTTTGTAATGTTAGCATCCCATTTTTCCTCAAAAAACTATGACATACTCTTTCTCCAAGCAGATTTTTGTTGTTATTCATGTTTCTGTTGAACTTTAGAAACATGCTGTTGTTCCTTTGAAACTTTTGGAGGGCAGTATAATTTAGCCTGCCAGCGGCAAAAGTGGATACTTGTTTACTATAAAACACAGCACTGATGTGCCAGAGGAAAATGCTAAATTTTAATAACTAAATGATTTTATTTATTCAATCAAAATATGTCATAAAAGTAATTTTCATTTAAAGTTTGTCCACTGTAAATACCATAATTTCCAGAAGAAACGTCACAGCATTTACGTGTTTAAAACTTAAATTTTCAGCGGATGCGCCATTTAGGTGCACTAAAAATAAAATATTTCCTATGATGGTCATTGTACATAGTTTGAATAACTTTGTCATTGTACATAGTTTGGATGGCCTAGTCTTTGTACATAGACTGGTGCTGTTCCCACACAAAAGAAAACTCAGTTGCTTTTTGCGAACGTTATTTTGTTTACATTCTTTCCCTTGAACGGACCTACATGCCTTATTCACCCTAAACGGGATTTCAGAACCATAACATTCTTCCCCCTTTCAAAGCAGCATTCTCATCATTTTGAATAGTCTCTCTCCTCTGCCATTCGATGAATCTTCCAGGACCCATCCTCTCCCCAACTTGCCTTTTACTGCAATTTTTTTCAAAGGCAGACACGACTCCACCTGCCTCGCAATAACGAACTCTGATGTATTTCCCCTTCAGCTATGAATCGATTTTTCTTGGCATTCTGCCAGATACAGATCCCATCAGTTTGGGTACAAGTACTTGTTGGATAGTTTTTAAGTAAGAAGGGAGTGGAAAATTTTTGAAAATGGCACTAAACAGCACAGAAGCTATACTGCTGGTTTTAAGCTTAATGTAATTTCACGTGCTGAACAAATTGGAAATAGAGCAGCAGCTCGAGAGTTTGAAGTGGACGAGAGATGTATTCAACGGTCGAGAACTGAAAAAGAAGAACTTAAAAATATGCCACAACAGAAACGAGCCAAAAGAAGTGGTACTGTAAGGTGGCCGAATCTAGAGGACGACCTTGCAAACTGGATAAAGGAGCAACGAAAAAAAGGAATGGCAATTTCGACAGTAAAAATTCTCTCACAAGCAAAATTTATAGCAAAGCAAATGAACATAAATGATTTCAAAGGAGGCCTTGCTGGTGTAGCAGATTTATGAAAAGAAAAAATGTTTCTGTGCGTACTAGAACAGTCAGGCAACAATTACCAATGGACTGGCAGGTTAAAAAGGCATCTTTTCTAAAATATGTGACAGATATTATTGACAAAAGAAAACTTCTTCGGTCACAGATAATAAATATGGATGAGATGCCGTTAGCTTTCGACTCTCCTGCAAACAGAACTGTTGATGAAACTGGTGCAAAAACAGTATCTGTGCTTACAACGGGGCATGAAAGAACGTCATTTACATGTGTGTTAGCTTGTGCCGCAAACGGTGACAAGCTAAAAGTGGATGATAATTTTTAAACAAAAAACTATTCCTGAAGGGAAGATTTTCCTAATGATGTAATTATTTGTGCAAACAAGAACGGCTGGATGTGCGAAACAATCATGCATGAGTGGCTACAAAAAGTTTGGCAGTGTCGTAAGGGATCTTTTATCCAACCAAAAGGGTTATTGATAATGGATTCCATGCGTGCTCATTTACATGCTGATTTTTTTTTTTAAATTGTAATGTTTGTTTACATTAAAACAATGAGTACAAATGACAGGAATTCATAGATTAAGCAATTGCAGATCATCAGAATGTGTGCATATATATATTTCTGACTGAGAGAAGATCTAAACATACCTTAGAAACTGTCTGAGAAGGCTTAAATTGTGAAGCCAATATCATATTCTCAGGGTCTACAGGTTGAGAAAAGCTCACACCAACTGTGACGCTGCTAATGTTTCCAGACAAACCATCTATGTTTCCCGAGTCACGAAGTACTTGAGCTGGCTGAGAGAATGATAATTTGGAACCTGATTCTTCCCTAGGTGAGGGAGAGAAAAAAAGGCAAATATGAAAATTGTTTCACAAATATATATATATATATATTTTAACAAACATGTATATATGTAAAAAAGCAAACTTAAAGTTAAAATAATGTGCAAACATATAAAAGATTTAATTTTTGAACTAATCAACAATATCATTTAAATTCAGATAGCATAAGTAAATCAAGTGCAAAACATGAAAATAAATTTACCAATTTATATATATATATATATTCATAAGTTTTGAGAAGCACATACGAACTGTAGATATAATTAGGGTACATATTTATGAGGAATTATGTCCCTCCTCCATGTATGCTTTCATAAGGTAAATGGTTAGAAGCACCCAGCTAGAAACTGGAATATCTGAAGTTAAAAAGCCAGTGAGGGCACAATTGATTTCTCATGTTACCTAGCTCCAGTATACATATATATGTAATAGATTCAGGAGCAGGAATTTGGATCCATAATGACTAGGAAATTGGAGGCGAAGGCAGATTAAATCTTCAGTTTTATTTTCAGCAACATGTTACGTCTACACAGAAGTCGGCATATTAAATGGGCCTGTCCCAAAAGGCTTACATTTTTGATAACTTTGTAGCAAGAAAGCAGCAGCAGCAGACAGACAGCAGTGTAGCTAGGCCAAAGCGTGGAAGGCAAGTGCATAATGTTCAGGATGAAATTTTAAGTCAAACTGAGTTAGTTTTGGCTTTCAAAGCATTTTGATTGGACAGTTAATATTGCTGTAAAATCACTACTGGCTGATTGAGTTTTAGTTCCATTTACATCATCAGAATTATGTAAGAGTCATATGACATAGATTTTTCTCGAAACGATGCAGTGCAAATAGATGTTGCTATTTTTAGAATAGAGAAGGGAAATTAATTTACGCTGCTAATTTAATCTTTTAAGTATTCTTTATTTTTCTTACATATATATATATATATAACAAGTTTAATTTAACTATACCTTTTTAAAAAATAGCTAGTTTTCTAGAAGTTAAAATATGTCTTGTTATATATATATATATATATAAATAATAAAATAGTTAGGAAAAGAGAGCACTGTTGATGTGTAATACCCAGATAAAAAAAAGATAGATTGCTGATCCATATTGAAGAGGAAGCATTATGATTGTGTAGTATGCTAATATGTTGACTTCGTAGTATCTAAAAAATTTGGCAGTCAAGGCAGTTTCAATTCCAATTTTACTTGCAATTGATATTTGTGGCCACAGTCACTTGGCACTCTAGTCTTGCCTTTTTACAGAACTTTTACATTTTAGATATTATTGCAACAGTAAGCAAGACAGTGAAGTTACATACTATCAGGGTAGCGAGCGAAGCTGAAGTGCGTAGTTGTGCAAGATGGAAGCACATGAAGAGAAAGTTTTGGTTTGAATTTAAAGTTTCAGTTCCCAATTATTACGTCATCAGTGTGCGTTGTGCAGAAAATGAAAATAAAATGATGCAATTCAGAGAAGTTATTACAATTTTTATAACACAGAGGAAGAATTAAAGGGTTTACCGTTAATTTATATTATAATTTTGATTCACATATTTTTTTATCTTACATACATACATATAGAGAGAGGGGCAAGGTGATGCAGTAGCTAGTGCATCGCAGAGCAGCACTACAGATCCGGAGTTCGAACCCCGGGCTGGGCAAGGTCAACTCAGCCTTTCATCCCTTGGGTCGATAAAATGAGTACCAAGTTCATTTGGTGACTAAACACGGAGCGTCCTGCGACAAGGTGACCACTTGTTCAGGGCATATGCTTACGCACCCCGGGGCGCAGGGTCAAGAAAGCAGATTTCGTGGCACTGCAGGCCTTAGCCCATTAGGGCTGTTTGCACCACTGAGTTTAGTATACACATATATATAACAAGTTTAATTTAACTATACCCTTTTTAGAAAATAGCTAGTTTTCTAGAAGTTAAAATTTTTACTTAGATTTTTGAACTCAGCTCTTCATTAGTGTTGTATGGTAAGGATTAAGTGTTTTCATAATTAAAAATGAATATTCTAAGTTTACTTTTTTTGTTTATAATTGGAATTGACAAACCACAAGTTGTAGTTGTTCTTCAACAATATGAGATTATTAATAATGTTATTTAGAACTTGCCAGCAATCAATCAATGGCATTTGAGTCACATATCCTCAAGAAGAATGAAATGAATTTGGCACTAATTAACCATCCAGGTTTAATGTTTCAAATACTAAGCCCTTTAAAATTTTTGTTTGAAACATTAAACAAAGGATAGTTAATAGTTTTAATTTGTACTTTTATTTGTTATTCCTGTTTTTATATTTTCATTATTTTAATTAGTCTTTAAAATTTCTTTATCTGGCTTTAATAATAATACTTCCAAATAACATACACCCATTTTACTGCAATACAAAATTTTCTTTTAAAATATCTCTTTTCTACAGTGTGTGTGCATGTAAGATAATAAAAAAATTTAAATTATTGTCCTTTAACTCATTAGTCTCAAACTGGTAGCCTTCAAAGCAATTTTAAGCAGCCTATAAAAACATTTCTAGTAAATTAGTTAGCTCTATTATGAGAAGAATTTCAAGAAAAAAACATAAGATTTTAATGGTTTGAAATCCAATTTAGCATTATTTTCATTAAAATGCCCATGAATAACACCACAGAATATCTACATACTGATTTATCATGTGATATAAATCTAATTCAAAGATTTGAAAAGATAGAGTTAAATAATTTTTATTCATACTGATTAAGAACTTTAATTAAGAAAGTTAAGAATTTTTCCAATAAGAATAATTGCTTCGTTTGAGAATACATGTAGGAGAATGCATTTTTATATTGGGAGTACACATGAACAATTTTTTCTCGCAGTTGAAAATTAATAAGTCTGAGAAAAGAACCAATTTAACACATCGTTCAATAAGCCCCGGGACTAACTAAGAAAACAACATCTATTTAAAAAAATTTCACGTTTATTCATCAACATAATCCCCATGAAGAGCTATGCAATCATTCTAAGCTTTTTTAACTTTTCGATAACATGCTTGTTAAACGTTTGTCCTTGTCCGCAAAATAAGCCTCAGTGGCAGCAATGACTTCCTTATTTAAGCCAAATCTTTTTGCCTGGAACATCTTTTTGAGATCAACTAACAGCCAGTAGTCTCTGGGGACTGGATCTGAGGAGTATAGTGGGTGGGAAGGCAGAGTGAAGCCCAACTCATTCAACGTAACCAGTGTTTGCATTCATTTGTGACACAAGGCATTGTCTTGACTGAAGATGATTTTTTTCTTCATGTGCAGTCTTTTTTTTGCGATTTTGTCCTTCAGACACATCAATAACTCACTGTAATAGGCGCGATAGATTTTTCCCTTTTCAAGGTAGTCAATATAAAAATTATTCCTCACGCATCCCCAAACACAGATGTCATGACTTTTCCAGCTGACTGCTGCGTTTTAGGACGCTTCAGATGGCTTTCACCGGCTGCATGGGACTCAGCTGACTGCTGCTTTGACTCCAGAGTGAAATAGTGGATCCATGTTTCGTCCATTGTTACATACTGACGCAAGAAATCCTGTTTATTGTGAGTAAACAGTGACAAACAGCTCTGTGAATCATCGACTTGTTGTTGCTTTTGTTCCATTGTGAGCACATGTGGCACCCATTTGGAAAACACTTTTTTCTTCCCAACTTTTCATATAAAATCATATACACGCTTCCAGTTGATATGTTTACCATCTCAGCAATCTCACGAACTTTCACTCTGCGGTCATTCATCATGATTTTCAACACTTGTTTCACATTTTCCGGAGCGACTGCTTCATTTGACCTACCAAGACTGTCGCATCATCTGTATCCGCACGACCGTGCTTGAAATCAGCATACTAACAGCAAATGATTGTTTTCGATGGAGCAGTGTATGGATAACATTTTTCAAGCCATTGCTGAGCTTGCACAGTATTTTTGCCCATTAAATAGCAATGTTTGATCAACACTCGAAATTCGTTTTTCTCCATTTTGTCTACCAAATGCACAAGTAGTGTCACTTTCACCACAGTAGCTTCGCTGTTTCTGAGTCCTGGGACTTATTGAATGATGTTGACTAATGAACATTTATTTAACTAATGAACATCTGTAATTTGCGATAAAAATAGTTTCTAGTAATTTTTCTCCAAGTTTACAAGTTTTATCAAAATTAAAACACTATCAAGTGTAGCTGAAAGTTGTAGTAAGAAATAATGAAGTTTATAATTATACACAGACACACATACATATTTTTTCTGTATGCAACGAAGAAAATTTTAATAAATAAAAGAAAGAGGTTGTCATGTATGTCATGTAAACATACTTACAAATATTATCCCATTTGAAACGTTTTGGTGATTTGTTTACATTTAGTTTATGTAGTGCTTAATTCAACATATTAGAATTATTTGAAATAAATTTTAGTCTAAAAATTTAACATTTTAAACTCAAAATGTTTGAATTACAAAGCTGCAACCAACAGAAATTTATTGCAGACACCAACATTTAGAATTCAGACAAAAAATGCATATTAATTTGAATTTTTTCCCATCATTATTATTTCTGTTTGTATAGACATTAATAAATACATAGTAAATAAAATTTAGTTAAAATGCTATTTTACTTTTAAAAAAACTATACATTTTGTTAAACAAATTTCAACTCATTAAGTGCTTTCAGATTAAGCATTCATTCTGCATGCAGTTTCACTGAGATCCACAGACATAGTTCTCTTTTTTAATCTGGTTTTTTTCCCCTTTTCTGTCCTAAAAAATAGCAACTGCTTATACTAAATCACTCTAAACTGCATCACTTAAAAATTAATCCTTCTCATATGATTCTTACATAATATAATGATGCAGGCATATAATTTTGTAAACTAAAATTTAACTAACCATTCAAAATGAAGTGAAACTACAATTCTAAAAAAAAAAAAAAAAACCTTATTTGGAAAATACACATTCATATCCGTCTTGCTTATCCTTGCATTTTCAAACTTACTATCTACTGCTGCTCCTTCTTGCAAAAATAAATAAATAAATAAATAAATAGCAATGTAATTACTCAAGGAAACGTACTTTTACTGCCACTTTACCCACATCTACCCATATTAATAATTAATAAAAAAAATACTGTTGGCTACATGCGGTCTTTATTTTTAGGTGTACACCATTTGAACAACACCATACACAAAACTAAAAAAAAAAAAAAAAGAAAGAATTTTATTTAAAAAATCATATTAATAGCTTTGGTTTTATCACATTTTATTATGCCTGATTTGTTGAACCCTGAAACTGAAAGCTGGAAATATAGTATTGAGAGTTATGGTTATAAATTCTGAGCCATAAAAAGTACAATAAAAGCAACTTTTATGCTGAACGCTTTTATTAAATAAATAAATAAAAATCATTCTGCTTTTCATGCTATACTTTACTAAACTGCTAATTATTTTATTTTATCTCAAATTTCAATTTTAGGCATTTCTAGTTTTGCATTGCATTATTCAACATTTTGATCATTCATTCAAAAATATAAAAACTGAACTTACTTAAGTACTGAAGAACTATCCAATTCTGAACATAGACGCTTGGATGTTGTAGTACCAGACAGCTGGCTAGTACCTTAAATGAAAAAAAAGTATGAAGTTAAAGCAAGTAAAATTTTCACTTGAGCAGCAAATTAGCAGAAAAAACTATCCAATTCTGAACATAGATGCTTGGATGTTGTAGTACCAGACAGCTGGCTAGTACCTTAAATGAAAAAAAAGTATGAAGTTAAAGCAAGTAAAATTTTCACTTGAGCAGCAAATTAGCAGAAAAAAGAGACAAGGAATGAAACCATGTTCTAAACTAATAGCAGGTATTAAACATTATTGTCAAAATATTTATAACTTTATAATATATATATTGCTGTAGTTATAACTTTATAACTACAGCAATTTTATAAATTTTGATATGTAATACAAAATTTGATATATTTTTTTTTATTATCTGCATACTGGTTTCAATACTAAATTACTTCTTGTAAAGGCGTCACCTTTTCCTAGTTGATACCTGTTCGATGTTATGCAAATTGTATTTCTCTCTTTGTACGGAGGAGCGGCGCAGACGCAAATTTGTTAGGATTTTAAAGCTCGCATTTATAGCTTTTAGGTTGCTGTGAATTACTGGAGTTTCAACTAAGCAGAGTTTTTTCTGAATTTGTTCAGTAAGCCGCTACTGAAATCGGAGGTTACAATGTGTTCTTCGCCATTCCTCAACCAACTTAACGGTTGAAAGCCAATAAAGAAGTTTCGGTCAACATTATGACTCTGAGGTTTCTTGGGTTCTACACTGAGGGAATATGAAGTCAATTTACAGTCCACTATTTTTAAAAGACGGAATGTACATGATTTTGGTTCATCGGCTAGGGAGTTGCAGTAAAATTGGTGAGTCAGTGTATTTTTATATCTTTCTTATTAGGTAATGGAATTTACAACGCTTAAGATTAAGAAGTGTGTAGCTAAAGCTGCGTAAACTAAAGGAGAAAATTACAGTGACTTACGATTCTGCTGATGTTGATCAGTTAGAACTTTTTAAATCTAGATTAAATAATGTAATGCCTAAACTTTCGGATATTTTTAGTAACATATTCGTAGTGTGTGAAGAAAAAGATATTGATGTCTTTATAGAAGAGCAGAAGGTCATACAAGATACTGTTGATGAGCTAATTTTAATGCTAACCAGAGTTAAGAATGTTAAAGATATTAGTGTGGAAATTAAATCTTGTGAAATAGCAAGTATACGCTTACCTAAGCTAACTCTTCCTGTATTTAGTGGCAGTGCTGAAGAATGGTTATAATTTTTTTTTATTTATTTAAAACGGCGATAGTGGATAATGACCGTTTATTGGGTGCGCAAAAGCTACAATATTTAAAGGGTTCTTTAAAGGGAGATGCTTTGCGGATTGTTCAAGCTTTAACTATTTGTGACAGGAATTTCGAAATAGCGTGGCATTTATTGTATCAAAGATTCTCACATAAGAGAGAGTTACTTTCACTGTTGTTAAAGAAAATCTTGTACTTATCAAATTTACAAGCTGAAATTCCTAGTCAGGTATTAGCATTAGTAGACACTGTAAGAGAATGTGTATGTTCATTTGAAAATCTAGGATTCAAAGTGGAGCAATTCACGGATACTATTTTAATGTTAATAGTACAGTTTAAATTAGATTCTTTGACAAGAGGATGGTGGGAAAGAACATTAAAGAGTGAGGAAATGCTAACACTTAATGATATGTTAGAGTTCTCGAAATCTCATGCCAGAACCTTGCAAGCAGGTAAAACGCAAGGTGTTACAAAACAAGTTACCAGAGACAAATTAACTTCATTGGCTTTAGAGATTTGTGCGCAGTATACGTATTGTAAAGCCGGTCATTCAGTTTTTAAGTGTAATAAGTTTTTAAATCTGAACGTTCAAGAACGTCTTAATTTTGTCAAGAAAAATAATGTTTGTTTTAATTGGTTTCAAATCATAAAGCTTTCGAGTGTAGAAGTACACATAAATGTAAAAAGTGCTTTAAAAATCATCACATACTACTGCATTTTGAAAGAGTTCAAAATGAACCAAAATCATGTAAAGGAGTTCGAACAGTTCGAAAGAATTATCAGTGATGGCTAAGCCATTTTCCCCCGAGCCAGAACCTCGTACTCAATCGGCTGGGTCAGGAAAGAATATCACAAGTTCTAGTCCAGTAATTAAATCTTGTGTTTCAGACTTTAATTTTCAGCATGTAGTTTTATTATGTACGGCTGTTATTAAAGTGTTAAATTCATTGGGTGAATACCAATTGTGTAGAGCCCTCCTTGACCCTTGCTGTCAGGCAAGCCTGATTTCAGAAGACTGTGTACAGAGACTAGGATTAGCAAGAAGAAATGTCAAAGTTTTTATTTCATGTTTAGGGTCTTTGGATACGAAAACTAATGGAATTACGGAAATAAACTTCGTCCCGCATTTTCCAGTGAAAGTGTCATTTAAAACACCAGTATTTATCATCAATAAAATTATTGTAACCTTGCCGCATTTTAAATTAGATAAGAAGTACGTTGAGGAACATAATGATTAATGTTAGCAGATCCAACATTTTACAAGAGTGGGCCTGTTGATATACTTTTCGGCGTAGATATTGCTTTACCATTTTTGAAGGGGGGAAAAATAATTAAATGCGAAGAAAGGTAAACCAGTAGCTTCTCATTCTCAACTAGGATGGATTATTTCAGGTAGTGTGAATAATTCAATAGAAAGTAATCCTACTAGCTATGCGAATAATGGGTCCGTGTCACTTAGCCGACAACCGACAGGACATTTAGCCGACATGGACACTTAGCCGACAGGACATTTAGCCAACACGGACAGTTAGCCGACAAGACATTTAGCTGACAGGACATTTAGCCGACATGGAAATGTAGCCAACAGGACATTTAGCCAACAAGGACACTTAGCCGACAGGACATTTAACCAACACGGACAGTTAGCCGACAGGACATTTAGCCGACACGGACAGTTAGCTGACAAGGACACTTAGCCTACAGAACATTTAGCTGACAAAGAGAATTAGCTGTCAGGACATTTAGCTACGGGACACTCAACTGTCAACGCATTTAGTCAACAGGACACTAAGACAGTGACGTTTAGCTGACACCTACGCAATAATTATTAAACTTACTGTCAATTACAAAATTTCTCGACTTATCCATAAGTTCAATATTTAAGTTATTTTTTTCACCTATGAGTAAAATTCATTTTTTGATTCTTAAAGGTCTCATATGTGCTTTTAATTCTTGTGTAATTTAGCATTGTTTGATATGTACTGTTTGGTGTATATTGGCCAAATTGAAAAAGCGCTGAAATTTCTCGTCGGGGAATATGAATTAAATTTCGAAAGGAAGAAAGGAAAAAATTTTTTTGCTAAATACGGCGGTCACTTAATTATATTTTAATATGATCTTAAAAAATTATCCATAAAGCTTCTTCATTTAATCAACTGGTTTCCTTTGAACACCTTCACATCATTAACAATTTTTCTTGTTTACTTAATGACATTAGTTTTCCAATCTCGCTCTTCCAAATGCTTTAAAATTTCTAATACCTTTACGTTTCATTACTATTTTACTCATCACATCGTGTTACATTCTTTCCCTTACAAAAGCGTTTTGCTTCTCTCACTAATGAAATTTCCTTTCCCTGTCATGAAAAACCTGAATAATGCAATAAAAATTATTGTTATTCTTCAATTATACTTTTTTATGCAAAAATATGGTAGTAATGGTTAGTTTAGCAAATATACTTTATTTTGTTATTAAAAACAATAAAAAAAAGTGAATTTTCAAGACAAGCAAAGGTATAAATTATTTGTGACCTCTATAATTTGCTGTTCATGCCACCATGCTTGAGACAGAAATTCTGTAATTTTTTATTGACCATGCCTCTCGCTTAAATACTTACTTAGGGTAATGTTTACAGCACTAAATTGGGGCATAATGTTTAATTTAGAAGTAAAATATTCTTTAAGGATTTGTTTTATGCATAACTGAAGTTTTTAAAATGTATAAATTTTCATTTCATTTTTCATTAATTTAATTTTCCCCCCTCTTTTTCATTCCTTCTGTTTCTCTTTTTCAGTTTAGCTACATGGCAATGAGAAAATTTTTGGTGCCCATTTTTCTGAATGCATTTATAAAGTTCTAGCCTAAAATGGCAACTTTCATTGGAAGAGACTTGTTACATATTAAGTAAAATGGTCACCCTATTTCTGTTAGGCTCAGCAGAGGCCAAGCTTTAAAGTAATGAACCCTGGCAGGTCGGTCCGTATTCCGAATACCGAGAACAGACAGACTGCATGGGTGTTTTTGTGATTTTCCCCATGTGTAACATGTATACGAGCCAGTTTTCATTAGAACGTCCTCCACCATGGCATCCCTGCCTTTGGCCAGATAGCCCTTTGGCTTTGCCGTAATTACACAAACCAAACTTCTTCTGTTAGGTGGCCACAAACTTGGTTTCTGGCCCTCTCCTTCTGTAGCTTCAGTTATGAATAAAACAAATCCTTAAAAAATATTGTACTCCTAAATTAAACATTATGCCCCAATTTAGTGCTGTAAACATTACCCTAAGTAAGTATTTAAGCGAGAGGCGTGATCAATAAAAGGTTACGGAATTTCTATCTCAAGAATGGTGGCACGAACAGCAAATTATAGAGGTCACAAATAATTTATACATTTGCTTGTCTTAAAAATTTCCTTTTTTAAATTGTTTTTAATAACAAAATAAAGTATATTGCTAAACTAACCCTTACTACCATATGTTTGCATAAAAAAAGTATAATTGAAGAATAACAATAATTTTTATTGCATTATTCAGATTTTTCATGATAGGGAAAGGAAATTTCATTAGTGGGAGAAGCCAAACGCTTTTGTAAGGGAAAGAATATAACATGATGTGATGAGTAAAATAGTAATGAAATGTAAAGGTATTAAAAATTTAAAAGCATTTGGAAGAGCGAGACTGGAAAATTAATGTCATTAAGTAAACAAGAAAAATTATTAATGATGTGAAGGTGTTCAAAAGAAACCAGTTGATTAAAT